CAACATGGCTATGCTATCCTTGCAGCTAATACACTTCTGTTACTGTTTAGAGAAATGCTCATGTTTAAAGACCTACAGTCATGTACTCTGAATGCTCAACCGGGTGCAAAGATCACTGGGGCGTAAATAAAAAGTGAAACTCCAATCTTGTACTGTTTGTAGATGGACATGTACGAAACAACAATCAAGACCTCCATTCTGACCTCATCATAATGCCGTTTGTGGTTATTCTGTAGACATTAAGTAACGTTTACATGATTTTGACCAGCTTATTGGTTAAAACGTGTGGAGTAGCCCTTGAGAGATATAGAAAGATAACCTAGCCATACCTACATTTGTATACGCGTCCAAATGAGCAGAAGGGCAGCTGTATCTCTGACAGCGGTATTATGTGAACTGCAGTTCTGTGTGTGTAATAGGCTAGTTGACTTTTTTCCTCTATTTACAATGAAAACCCGTCACCTCGGCAGATTTCTATAATCTCCTAGAACAACTCTGCTCTTCTGCACTTTGTTTACAAATCTGTATGAAGCAGAGGAAATATTAGCCCTAAAGTGCAGTTATCTCTCATTCCTCATCCCCAGTAGGTTCCTGCTTTTTAAAGAAAAGTAACACCCAGGGCAGCTTTAAGTCTCCTCCTTGCTGTACGCCGTAGTGTAACGCTCGTGTCATGTAATACAAGACAGCTTGCACTTCATATTAGCAGCACCATGTAAAAGCTTACCTGTGATACAAGTATAGAGCGGCTGTTCTTGCATGTTCTGCTGAAAAAAGGCTTTCTGGTCAGCTCTGAACACTTGCACTTGGCCCAGTGCTCTTGGTCTCAGCCGAGAGGGCTTTAGTAAAGAAAGCAGCTGCTCCCCTCTGCCACGACACTGTGAGGCTGGAATTGAGAATTGGCCAGAGGAAACGTGGTCCCAGACTCTTACTGTCTCCAGGGAAAGCTGCTAACCAGGGGAAAGAGCTGGAAGCAGGACAAGGGGGTTGGTTGGTTTAGCCACAGCCATGCAAAGCTGCTGTTGCGAGTCCCTCCCAGGAAGGCGGGGCGGGGGGGCAAAGCTTCCTCCTCCTGTCTATACAGACAATTAATTTGGGAAGAGAGGGGCTAATTCATGGTGGAGGCAGCATCTCAGACATTGCATCGTCCCTGCTCACAGTCAGTTCTGGTGGATGCAGCGGGGATTAGTATGGTGTTGCTGTATGTGAGCAACAGAAATATAAAGGGGAGTGCAAGGCTACTGTGAGACCGATGCTATATTTTTAAACAAATACACAGGATTAGCTGGGCAAATGCACAGTGTACGTGCATTTGGGAATAAATGGCTACTGCTTTTAAAAAAAAAAAAAGCAAAGTCTGACAAATCCCGTATTGCAAATCACAGCTGTCAGCACCCAGCACTTGGAGAAGGCAGGCCAGGGAACTGGGGCCCGACTCCAGAAATACAAGCTGGCCAGCAAGAGGTGGCACACGACTCCGCTTAAAAGGGTAAGCGTTACAGCAAAGTGAAACCTTACCTCTGGCCTTTGGGAAAAGGTGGCTGGCTTAATGCGGCTTACTTAACGTTTCACGACGGACAAACCTCAAGCTATTACACAATCCCTAGCCGCCTCACCTATTTGTGCAGCCGAGCAGGACTAAGGTTACTTTCAGCCTCCCCTCTGCACGCTGTTTTTGCACACTTTGGGACACAGCGCAGCACTGCATGGTGTACGCAAGGTCCAGTATCTGGAAGAGCATTCCATAAACTAAGTAATAATCTTCCTCCTAGAGCCTGCACTCCAGCTTTGCCACAGCAGCGGCTTTCCAGTTACTTTAGTTGCATTGTTACGCTTAATAATGCAGTAAAAGAGGTGAAGAAAGTCTTTCTCTTCTCTTCCTTTGCCCCAGAAGTCTTTTAGGTTTGGATTATGTTTGTGCAAAACACTATCAACTGGTGACTGACATGTTTGCTTCAACCATAGCCTTTTAAATGACCTTAATTACCATGTTGTTAAGAAACGAGTACTTGTTTTAGAAAAAAAATTGTACTTTTAAAATTCAGTTAGTTAACACTGCAAAAAACTGCATATTATATTTTTATTTTCAACATGTAGTTTTGTATATTAAATTTATTGAAATTAAAAACTAAACACTGTATTGTCTTCATCTGCTCAGGAAGACAGAGGCGGCACCGCCTTACTTGTCTGGACTCTTTTTCTGTCTACAAAGGTGGGCTACCTGAAGAGGTGGTGCAGGAGCGCTCCCATGCCCCAGCGCAGGCACATCCTCTCCTTCGAGAGCAGTCGTTTCTGTTAGCTCACAGAGATTTAAAAACACAAACAGATTTGGTGCCATTTTTTGTATGCTGCTGATCAAAAGCATTCCTGAAAATAGTCATAATCCAGTTTTCTACATGACAGAGAGTGGCTGTCTTCCCCATCACCTGAAAGAACTGTAAAAGCCTGTTGTAAAAACACAAGGAACATCTGGGAAGCAGCAGAGTCTAGCTTACTTTTTTTTTTCCCCTTCCTTTTTTAAATTAAACAAACAAAAAAAAAAAGCAAGCAAAAGGATGAAGGCACAGTACCCAGGCTGCACTGAACAAGCAGTGCAGCAAGCATGGCAGACAACTGGTAGCCAGGAAAAAAGGTAGATCTGTAAACACCTGCTGCTGAGAAGTGTTGCATTCTTTTCTTCTGAAAGGCAACATCCCACGGAACTTCACGTTGCAATGGCATGCAGGGAGGAGAGACACACCGCTGCTAGATTGCTGCCTGAGTTCTCTCTCCTCGTTTTTAGGAAACAGACCAACCCCCCCGCCCCCCCCAGACAGGCCTTGATAAGAGAAAACAGAAAAAGCCGTAGCAGACTGTGCACTGTACCACGCTGGCTGCTCGTACGCTTGAAAAAATGAATTCTAGTAAAGGTCTTACCTGTGACTTGACTGAACAGTTTTTGCACTGCCTCAGGGAAGTTCTAAGGGGCCAAACTTTTCACACACCACTGTGCATAGTTAATGTAACATTCATCCTGGTGCTACATGAGTAGTCCCGCATTAAGGCAATTCTGTCTATTTTGTGTAGACTAGTAACAATCCCCAGCAGCAGCAAATTTCCAGAGCCTTACATTTGCCTTAAAGTTATTAATAAGCACTATGGCTGTTATCAAAATAGACATTAGGTTCAGTAGTGCATTCATGTAACATCTTTGGTGCTTGCAGCTAGCAGCATCTTTCTACGTACGTTCATCCCACATCTTTTACCATTCCAACGGATCTGGGGGGAAAAAACAAACAAACAAACAATGACAAAAATGACTTGATGCAGTACTTAACAGAGGTTCACAATTCAAGGTGACATTATATGTAAGATGTTGACATGAGTTTTCTGGATGGTCAACTAAAAGAAAAATCAATGGAGCAAAATTATTAAGCTCTAGTGATTGAAAATACTTAGGTGTGCAGTCACGGCACAAGGCCAAGTTGTTACTGGAGATACGGCCATCAAACGTGTCCCTCGCAGCCTCACAGGGAAGCTCACGGGCAGCTTACTGACCTCCTCGGCTGTGAGGAAGAACCCACTAGATAGAGAGGCCCTTTGGTGCTACGCCTTCAGACTCACGGCCTGAAAGAAGACCTCTCAATCTGTAAAATCTAACGCAATTTGGAAGCAAAGGTCTGGCAAACGGGTGATGTCGCTGTGAAGCTGATGAGTATGAGCTTAACTGCCATTTATAAATGCAAAGCAAAACAATATGCTAAGGAAGAGGGAGCACAGAGACTTCAGGAGCTCAGGCAAAGGAAGAGGGATTACTTATTAGAAACTCTGTGTTTACACATCATCTGTTTTCCATGAGAAAAGGTGAGGTTTGCTCCATGCTCGTATAGCAAGGTCATGGTCCAAGAGGAGGGCTCTACGTCTATCACAGTACAATAAATGCCCACTCAGAAGGGATCAACAGGGTCATACCCCTGCCAACAACGCCCTGTGACCGAGGCAATTTGCACGTGTGCCGAAGGGAGAGCTGACTGATGCCTAGCGAGTCAGTGTCCTCTCCGTGGTTTTACGAACATAAGCTGTGGGAGAAGCAAGGACCTAAGTTTCACGGTATCAGTGATTGTGTCGAAATAGTATGAATTTCTTTCAAACATCAGACACATACATAAAAGTAGGCCGAGTTAGAGATTCCGCAGGGAGATGGACTTCTGGTACTTATCTTTCAGTAACTTTATGTACAAAATCACTTCAAAAAAAGACACCAGAATTTTTGGTGTTTATTTGCTTGCTTCTTTTTTTAAGAAGGGAGAATTTGTGATACCTAAGAAGCAGAGTATGAGAATGGAAGACAAGCTCCAAACCCAAGCAGTTTCCGTAGAGATGGGCAAGAAGAGGAAGCCTACCTCTTTTTCACCCTTCCTAGGATACAGCCAGTCTGGCAGCACACAGCTCCTCTTCCGTACTTGATCGGAGCACAGTGGGCATCAGGCACAGTTCTTCAGGTAGCCTGTATTCAACTGTACAGTTTCTCCCTGCCCAGAAGTCTCAAGCATCCAGAAGAAAGCCTACCTCCAATAGTTTCCCTTTCAGATGAAGTCAAGCAGACTTTCCTGGGACAAACGAGTGCCCTTCTCTAGCTTCTGGTAGGGGAAGAAGGGTCCTTGCTAACTCTGAAAGGTTTTTTGCTAACAGTAAGGATGGACAGAAAGCACCCTCCCTCTTAGAAAGGACTTGTCAAATTTTATTTTCTAAATATTATTCTAAATAAAGGTGATGCTAGAAGCTGTCCCTGTATTTCAAGTGATTGTGAAATAGCACCTTCGATATACAAACTAGTCAGAGATTCTGTAACCTCATTTCTGAAATTATGTCAACTCACCACTACAAATATAAAGAGGAATGGTATCAAAGCCAGAGCTATGTAATTAGGTCAATGTCAACGAAAGACATTATTCAAGCAGAGTTGATCTGTAGCCCTGTCAAGTTCTGGCCAGGCAGACCATCTTTAGACACAGTATTCATACCTCAGACAGAGCTAATGTTCAAGGACCAGCCAATTTTCTGTAACTGTTTGAAGATCTTGACCACTGAGGGGCTCCCGGAGTCTCACTTTCACCTCCAGTTTCCCTCCAGTGGGCTTTCTGCCATCAAAAATCTGAAAGAACCACAAAAAGAGGAGCAGTTAGTACGCACACGAATGATCATGTCAAACTATAGCGCCTCAGGCAACCATTGACTTTGTTTCCCCATGACCAAAAGATGACAGAGATCCCCTCCAGCTGACTGCAATGCTGGGAGGCGTCGCAGCTGTGTCCTTCCTCAGATTCATAATTCAGAAGAGCAGGTTCCCCACACAGCCCCTGCGAGGCAGCTGCACCAGTGCCTGCGCTACCTCTGCCTGCTGCACACCGAACCCCGGAGTACAAATGGACTCCATGGGTTTTGTTTTTTGGTTTTGTTTTATTTTTTGGTGTGTTGTTTTTTTTTTTTAAGGTTCCACTCAGTGATCTCCTACTGGATCTTATGGCATCTCTCTATCCACTCTGTCAGGCTTCACTTAACCCTTTGATCTGTTAGCTACCAGCACAAATAATTTTGAGAATCACCTGAACTTCTGGTCTTGACGAGGAAAACTATGTTGACACAGAAAATTTGCAGAAGAGAGTCCCCAAGAAGTTCCCAGTACCAGCTTGGTGACAGTTAAGACAAGCTTCAAGAGATGATAACACAAACAGCCTGTTGTTTATCTTGACTCACCCACTACAAAACTGTCACCTGTACACAGACACATTTCTGCCATGCGAATATTCATTTTCCCTTTGAGTTCGAACACTACTTACTAGAAGAACACACCTCACCCAGAAAACATACCTCGATGATCTCTCTAACTTCACATTCCGACTCCAGCTTTTCCAGTTTCAAGTGTGCTGTCCCCACTTGCTTGTCACTTCTGAAAAAGGACCTGTTTCAAAGAGATCTTCCTTCAATGAATGGGTAAGGGTTTTCAGAACATGAAACAGAAAGCAAGCGAAGAGGTCATCCCTGTTTGCACCACCACTGCATCCAGAGGGGCTGGTCAAGACATGCTGCTAGAACCCTACAAACCAGGGTGCAAGGGGCCAGTCCTTAGTGAACTAGGCTACAAGGACAAGAGAGGGAAGTACTCATTTTTTAATTATTCTCTTGCAACCAAATTAAAGATGAGGACAGTAGTGAAGAAAAACAATCAACTAAACTAGCACTTGGAATAGCAGCAGCTTTCGTCCCTGCATAGGGCTACAGGGAAGAATGGCCTAACAGCCAGGACAGATGGCAATCTTCTGCAACAGGCTGTTTAACAGGCTGAAAAACTTCCCAAGGAAGTTGCATCTCTCATCAAAACAAACATTTCACAGGCACATGCTGGTTTTGGCAAACTACTTATTAGGAAAAAGTCACACGAATCATTCTGTTTCATTTTGATCAATCAAAACAATTTCAACAAGCAAGAACATTTCATTTCAGGTATTGTTTTGAGTCACCTTCATACTAGAACAGTCAAGAACTAGCATTTTAGAATTTCTAGTCTGCTGAAATTAAACACAGAGCAATTTTATCCTGCAAGGAAAACAATGAACTTTTCTCTGCTACAGTCACTTCTTTTTTATCAGCTTTATCTGATAAAAACAGTTTTATCTGATCACACAGTTTTATCAGCAAAACATCCATCTTTACCTTAACAGAGACAGGTGGTGCAATCCTTATCCAGACAAACTCCTCCAAAAGGCAACAGCTAAGACTAAAACACACTAATTCCTCAGAAGTGTTCAGCTCAAAGCACTGAATTTCTTTGCCCGCATCCAAGCATTTCCCTTACTCAGTCTCCAAAAGGTTTGCTAAACAAGTAAAATCTAGAGATTCTGGAGGCAGGAAAGCCAACCAGCCATGCCTGTCATGTTTTAGACGGGAAATCTGCCAAGAATTCAGAAGCTTCCTTTTTTTTATGCCACTCTATTTAGGAAAAAACCAAGCAAGCAAATCAACAAACAAAAAAACCCCAACCCCAAAATAGCCACCCTTCTCCCTATTATCATTAAGAGATATTACAATATTATCAAGCGAGACTTGACATATGCAACGAAAACTCTGACGATTATTATGCAGAGCCTCATGATCATGTCATCTGTGGCAACAGTAACCAGTACATGAATACACAGACCTGATGCTGCCATCAGTGCCTACAATTTCCAAGTGAACATCTGCGAACCCGATTGTCTGAGATCTGTGACTGGAAAAGGAGTACGGTTGTTTCCTCACACCCACCGCCTCAATGATTGCTTCATTCACGTATTCTCCAAATAGCTCGTATCAACTGCAGTCTAAGGAACCTGTCATCCAGATTTTAACCTCACTTTCCGGCTTGCATGTTCAGAAATAGCATCAGGAACGCTATGGCTCATATAGCACCTAAGTCCCTACAGGTTAGGAGGACAATGGTCTGGTACCGTTAGCCCAGGCTGCAGTGAGCTCACGGGAGGGAGCTCAGACACTTCTAGTGCAAGACCCCTACTACTCTGAATGCACTGGAACGTGCAGCAAGTCACTGTGAGGAAGTACATCTCTTCCAAAAACCTGTTGCTGAAGGACTTGAACGACTCCAGCTCAGTTGTTCAGACTCCCTCGTATTTGTCACTTTGTCCATCTCAACATAAATTGCCGTAGTAAAGAAAAACAGTGTCACAAGTACCTCAAGGGCTGATAGCACTGCATCCAAACATGATGCCTATGAATTTGGTTGACAGAAAGCCTTCCAAAGATGAGACTGTATTCTCTGTCGATGAGGCTATAGTAGACTCACAAAATCATTTAGAAAAGTCCAGAATTTATTAGCTTACATGCTAGAATACTTCCTTTGTTTCACAAGCACCTTAAAATGAAGAAGGATTACATAATTGTACTGCAGTATGCTGGACATTTTGTTCATAAACTTAAAAAGAGAATCAGCAATTCTTCTAGCTGAACTTTTTTGAAGTATTTTTCCATTTTATAATTCAAGAAACAATAAAGACTGGTTCATCCCTGAGCAGGTCTAGGAGGTTTGCAGTGAAGAATGTGAACTTGCTCTAGGCTATGGCTTCAGAAACAGCTCTGGGGAAATCTCCTTTTATCTTCAGAAGCTTTTAGGAGAGGTTTAAGGAGACACTTTTCCTTTGGAAAAATACATTTCTGGGTTTTTACTTGAAAGTGTTTTTTAAACTTTATTTTAATATAGATGACCTGAAACAAATGTCCTTTGCTCGCTGAGAGAAAAGAATTCTTGGAAGATGGTCAAAGAGCTATCAGAGACCCCAACACTACAACATCTACCAGCATTTCTGAAAGTATTATTCATTTATAGTCTTGAAGAATGACAGGGAGCAGACAGCCTTTAGAAAAGAGCCTGGATCACTTAATCCTCTGCTTTCTCCTGAGAAGATGGCCAGGGGAAGGTGATCAGTGGGCATTCCTTCTTTTCCTCCTTCCCTGTTGCTATTTGCCCTGGGGAACTGCCACCTCTCCACCCTGATCCAGAAACAAGCATATATTTAACTTGTTAGATTCCTGTTCTAACAACAACAACAACGTATCTCAGAATCAGCAGAAACACAACCCACACAAATTTTTTTGCTAATCTTCGAAAAGGCTTCAAAGGACAATCTAGAGCTGGCATACAAGTCATGAATCACTGGAGAGTGTTTCCCAATAGCTGAACTTAAGCTTGAGCTCAGACCTTAAAAACAAGCACAGTTCCAGCTGGTACAAGAATAGGATATGGCCCATATGCGCAATGGTACGCAAAAGATAGGGAAAAACACTTAGAACAAATGTAAACACTTAACAGTTCTATGCAAAAGAGGCAAGATCTCTACTGATGAAATCTGGAACGACAGAGCAGTGGAGCAGTCAGGACTGACAGAGTAAGAAAATCGCTTTTGCTTCAACGGAGATGCAAATGGAAGATCTAGAGTAAAAACAATGGGACTTCAGCTCACAAATTAAAACCTCTACAACTTGAAAACCATCTTGGAGAACCTATGGACCATTTCTGCATGTCCCAGTAACAGAAACAAAGACTAGCACAAAGAGCCACCGAGACAAAACCAGGTGATCTAACATCCCATCCAAGTCATGAACCACAACCAACTCAGGGGTTAGTGAATACAGGCCACTCTGATTTGGAATAAATCAGTAATGAGCCTAGATGTAGGACGATTCCCCTGAACGTTACCAATTGTTAATGTCCATCTCATCATCTTCATCTCCGAGATGAGGGGAGTCTGTCTCTCTCAAGATAGTCTTAACAGTTTGCTAGCAGTGTTCGGTAAATATTGGAAGATCCTCAGAATGAAGATAAGTACAAAAACATAACGCTAGTTCTGCCTTCATCTGTCATCTGCTTTACTACTGTTAATGTTTTGCTGCCACTTGTACTTCATTATTCTACAAAGTTATCCCATATAACATTTAAATCTTCTCCTCCTGATGACTAAAACCAAACTGGATAAGAATCAAAACAATTTGAAGCTGAATCATTACCTCCTCAGTCTCACCAATTCCTCTTAACGCACTAATCCTCAACTGATCTGCCAGTTACGAATCAAATTCACCAAACTTCTGCCTTTTTTTCACCCCCACAGGGGAAGATACAGAGTTCAGGCACATTTTGAAAGGCATTCTCAGACATGAGAACTAGACAACTCTTTATTCCTAGCTTAAAGATTGTGCTTCATAAATTTCAGCTACAGCACTCTTTTCAACTGTTACCAGAGAAGCAAGGAGCAGGGAAACAAACTGTGGACTTACCCTTTATGAAATACTTCAAATTTAATTCCTTTGGACCGAATTGCTCGTCGGAAACCTCGGTGATTTCGGTTGATGTTCAACTTAAACAATTGGTTATATTCTATAGTTAAGATACAGAAAAATGAAAGCAAGCTGTGAAAGTCAAACTATCTGCAGTGCTCTATTACCCACACTACTCAGACCTCTGTTGATCTCAGTTTGGCCCATTTGTGAAAGACACTTCAGATCTGTATGAACCTCCTTCTCAGGAGGTTATTTCAGTCATTAACAAGGTAGCGTCCCTGCGCAACAGTTCATCTGTCATCCCCACTTTACAGCGACAGAAACCAAACTGCAGAAAACCCAAGTCATCATGAGGAGGTGACAGCAAGTTAGGGGAGAGCCAGAACTGGAGAATCTAGGGTTTCAGCAATTAAACACGGTGTCTGTGGGGAAGAAAAAGGTACAAAATACTAAGGAAAAAGCATAGGAAGGTTGGAATGACTGGGAAAGGGCGTTTTGATAACGTATTTAATACAGTTTTAACACCAATTTCATTAATGAGTGTGACAACTATGCCACAGGATACCTTTTTAAAGTCTCGTGACATTGTACAACTGATGTCCAAAGACTTATCTGCTGGGATACCCAGAACACTCATCTCTGCTTGCCAGCTTGGGAACCCAAAACATTAAAGCTGAGTGGTTGCTCAGCAAGCACAGATCAAGTTATTGGAAGACTTGGAACACAGCTCTCGGCATCAGCGCTTCAGGACTTCTACTCTTAACAGAAAAAATATATAAACTCAAAAGAGAGAGATCTATATGTATCTCTTTTGAGATAAATTCACAGCTAGTAATTTGGATACTGAATTCAAAGTTGTTTTGATACTAGATGGCTGCTTACTGCAAGAATTGAAAAAAATAATATAGAGATAAACCAAACTCAGAGTGCAAAATTATTAATTCTAAATGCATGATGAGTCTAATACCAGTATTCAATGGCTAGGTACAAAGAGGTATTTTTCAAAAGGTATAAAGAAAGTATTTTAGTTGGTTTCACGACACATTGTCTTAAAAAAAAAAAAAAAGAAAAGAAAAATCTATTTTTGCAATGATGCTTTGTCAGTTTTAGAAATGTTAGCTGATTAGCAAAAATCATGACAGAACTGGCAATCTCACAGGACACAAAACCTGACTGAAAAAGATCTGATCTATGGAGATACTAAAATTAATAATTTAACTTATTTAATAAAGAATTTTTTTTATCTGGCCCATCTCCCAGCAGGGTTAGGGTTGAGAGCAACAGCTGGAGCACAACTGGTAACTCGATGATATCACTAATTCATGACACAGTAACTACCACCAATATTGGGATGAGGGTGAAGAAATTGCCAACACCACTGGACTTCACCCTCCAACAAGCCCTTTCATAAGAAAGAAGAAAAAAGGTGGTGTGAGACCCTCCGGCCTGATTCACAGCATGAGACTAGCCTGTACTCTCCAGTGATCCCTAAGATGCAATGTTTTTCCCTCTGTCCCAGAAAAAGTACTAACCTGGAGAATTGTTATTGTTAATTACAGGTGTTTTACTCTTTTGAGGTTGCTCCTATTAAAAGAGACACACATTACATAAAACCATCAGATATTGTTTCAAAATACAGAGTAGTAACCATCTTTATTACCAGCTGTTTTTTATACCTATACAAGAAACATAAGGTTTTAGGGGGTTATCTGAATGATGACAAGAGTCATGGTACATTCAAGACTAAAATACTTGGATTTCATTGTGGTAACAAGTATAATACTAGATAAAGAATAAGCCAAAACATTACATTAAATTTAAGAGCCACAGATAAGCCACACGGTCACACTCAGTTCAATCATCCTAAAGTTACTGACTGTGGCTGTTAAACTACATGATAAACTGCGCACGTTCCACGACACAGTAATTCTGTTCCTTCTGCATTAGCTGGAATAATAAGCTACACAAGGAATTCATCACAAATCATTCAGGGAATTGCCCTACTATTATTTTGCCTGACAATCAATCTGCCACCAAAATGAATTAACTTTTAACCTAAAGCAGAGTACAAACTACATCTCTGGGGACTGAACAAGGACAACGTGACCTAATTATTGCAGCTACTTTGCAAAACTGATTTCAGCTATGAGGAGAAAGGTGGTGTATTTGACTGTTGGCTAAGCAATAGAGATCTGGCTTTTTTTAAAACAAAAAAAAAAAATAGATTAAAAGCAACTATGCTGATTCTTACTTATTCCCCAGAAAATTATTCATACAGGGTCAATTCTCTTTTCAGTCACCCTAACAGGGAGCACTCTTCCATTAAGGCCTCATGCAACTCAAACCTAAACACAAACCTGATCTGACAATCACCAACTTCCCACAGGTAATTGAATTTATTTTAGTGGAATTGCTGCAAAATTTATTAGGAGGTAAAAATCTAGGCTCTGCACTCTCACAGGGCTAAGTATTAGTCCTGTAAGAGCAAAGACTGGTTTTGCCCTACAGAGAAAGCAGCAGAAGCCCCAGCACTTCTATTGACAGTAAGACTAGACAGCCTTCCTCAGAAGCCCTTCTAGCTCAATGGTTCCAGTATTTTTCAGACCAGAGACTGCTTTTAAAGGTGAGGGGAACAGGATGACACCGAGGAGTTTCAAGGAAAGAAGCAAAATATATATATACACACATATTTTTTATATACGTACATATATGCACATATATACATGCACATACACATAAGTATTAATTAGTATGGTCAAGAAACTTGTATGGCCTAAGTCCTTTCTCCAGATATGCACGTATATATTTGCTAATTAAATAACCAGGAGTCATGTATATTTATTTGATGACAAAGATTAACTTTTTCAATCCATTTCTGTAATTGTAAGAGATGCCCAAAAGCAATGCCTTTAAAAGCTTGTTTTCTTAAAGGAATGGAATTTAGATGGAGATCCCATCTAAGGTGGCCCTCTCCTCTAGTGACAACCTTGCACGCCCTTGCGTTTGGTTGAAGTTACCAGTGTGTTTGCACCCCTGAAAGAAGTGAACTTCTACAAATTTTGCAAACACTGGCAACAGTCCGATTAGTGTCTTCAGGGGGGAAAGGTGGGCATGGCTTAGCACTGTGAATGCTGTTCAGCAGTTATCTCGGGGTCAGCCAGCCAGAGAACATGCAAGCTTGAGGTACACACCACACTGCTAAGTGTAAGGTGTGGAGAAGATCAAGAGAAAGGTGCAGCAAAGCTCAAATCTGCAGGAAACGGATTCAGCAGTTCTGTTTCTGTTTTAAAGTTTCTAGCTTTAAAAGGTTTTTTGAGTTTCTGTTTTAAAAATAAATTCAGGCAGTATGCCTAAAAGTGTTTTCCCTTTCTAGAAGAAAACCTACACGTCCTCCTTGAAGCCCTCACAAGCAAATACAGTGGCAAGGGTCACAGACCGAGCAACACAGGAGCCAGGACACACACTCACCGCACTTGGGTACTGAAATTCAAACTTCACAAATGCATCCAGATCTCCTGGTGATACACCTGAATGAGACAACAACCAGCCAATACAGATATTTTCGTTGGATTTGTAATGTTGAGCAGGATTTTCAAGAGCCCTTAACGCATTTTCAGTAGGACTTATGACCTGACTCTTGACAACTGAAAAACTCATCCATCAAACCAAAATCCATAGAAAGCTGGCATCCAAAGGAAAACATCTACTTTTCTTAATGCTGCTAGTCCTGAGACAGTCTAGCACAGATGCTAGACACACACTAGCCAGTCCCAGAAACAAGGGACTAAAAGCAGTAACGTTGGCAGAAGCAACTCCTGTCTACTGAAGGCTGGTGCAGAGTTAAGGCAGGAGATATACATGAAACTTAAAACTACGACCCAGTTAAGAGCGAAGCCGGGACAATTTAAAGTTCTTCCCTCTGTCCAGATGGAACCGAGATTCTCTTTATTCATCTGGGTTTTGTTTTGTTTTAAATACTGTTTAGAGGTTTTTTTGGTGCTTTAGCCTGAAACCTGGTTACTTTGTTTTAGTGAGTGCTGGCTACAAAGGTCTTGACTCCTGAAGTGGTCTTTAAGGTAGAAAAATCTCATTCCCCACTACTTTCCTTGCCTACTCAGCAGAAAAAGCCCACATGCCCTTTCAAGTACCCACCTGGCGGAGCTGGGAGGTTTATCCCCCTGACAATAAGAAGATGCATTTCTGTGCTGTTGAGCTCAGAAAATATCCTATGAAAAAATAAAGACAAAAAAGTACATTCATCCCAGTAGCCCACTACCACCTGATCCAGTGCCAGACCAGGATGCCACTGGTATTTGTCAGACCTTTTTCAATAGTGCACTCCTACATAGATCATCTTCATAAATTACAAAAGAGCAAGGAAAGAGCACAAACAGATATAAAATGTCTCTGAGGTGTAGTGAAAAATGCCATGAACAAAGCCCAAAGGCAATAGCACTGAGGGAGAAATACAGAGGAAGGAAGAGTGGTTGAAGTAGCAGAATATAAGAGATGAAGATGGAAATATTTTGAAAACAAAAGAACCCAGAAGAGAAGTTAGAGAACAACTTCTTCATATTTAAGTTGCTCAGAGTGTCCTTTTCAGGAATGCTGAGCCTAACCCTAGGTGCCACTCAAGTTTGCTGAAGCCCACAATTCCCTAAACAAGAGCTAGAAACCAGAAAACTCATTCCAGTCTGCCTGCAAAATCCCTTTGTTTTTCCATACCTTATCATTTTAAAGGTTCTCTCCTCAAAGTGATGGCTTGGAGGATCCATTCCTTGCGCTCGTGCAAGCTGTAGGATGTCTATGTCCTTTTTACAACCTTGTGCTAGTTTCTCAAACCTACAGAAAAGGCAAACAAACAATAGAAAAGCTACACACACACTGGACTATCAAAGCAGAGCATTCTGCCAGATACAGGCCACAGAGTAAGCCTCAGATCAGAGGTCTGAGAGCAACTTAAGAGACGCAGGCCTCACAGTTACTGACCCTTTCACATAATAAACAGCTTACCAACCCGAACGCCCATTATCTTTAGGGGGGTCAGGCAGTCTCAAGCTTGAACTGACCACGTTGTGGGATGATTAACAGCAGGTCTTACCGAGTTGTTTCTGCTACATTTCCCAGATGCATGAATTGCTTGGAATACTGCAAACACCTCTGTCAACAGAAACAAAACCAAACAAATACAGATGCATTCAGTGATCCTTACACATAGATTCATAAATGGCAGAGAGTTTTGAGGTTGATGACAACCTAATTTATGAAAAGCCAAGAGTTTTCCCAAGTCACCCAACATCCAACCCCCCTGCCCCGAGTCCTTTAAGCCCAAAGCTGAGCACAGCATTTGTATTGAACTGTTCTGCTCTCCTACTTTTTAATCACTTAATTATAGATATTAGGCTCACCCAAGGGCTAGTCTTAATCATTTGGTTACTATTTCAAACTTGAGTGCTCATATTTAATAGTGAAAATGTGATAGTCCCAAGCCTTCAGGCACACCCTCTGACTTCAACTAGTAGAAAATCCAAGTCTGAAAATCTTCAACTTTTGGACACAAAAAATCAAAAGTATTTTAAAAGAAAAACAAAAGACCCCACAGAAACAATGATGGGATTATAATATTAATAAAACCCATTGAAATGTAAAAAAAAAAAACGAAACATTTCTAAAAAAGACAGCACAGTCACCTCATGTTGGTCCTTCAGCAATTTTATGAGCTGTGCATATACTTCATCTGCTTTCTGAGACAGTCTAACATCTTCATGGTGTATGAAGATAAAGTCACCCTCATCATCTGTAGGGGGTGATGGCAGCTGCAACACAAGAACACCATATTTCAGAGCCCTTATAGGAAACAATGAAAGCAAAAAGCAGCCAGAATGTATGCAAAGGTCAGTGAAGGCAGATGGCTTGTTTTTCTTCTCAAGGCAATTCCAACCCAACCACTACTTACATCACTGCCTGACAACTGTTTAAGTCATAAACCCCTGTAAAATGTCTTAACAGGCCTAGTTCCCCAATTATTCAGGTCAGGAGAGCTCTTACAGTGCAGTTTGCTTTCCCAACCTACCTAAATGCCAAGAGAAACGAGGGCATCACTGTATCTCACACACCTGATCCTCATCCCAAAATGGAGTCAGGACACAGCTAAGAGATGTACTTGCACCCTAATCCCAGGGAATACTTCCAAGCTGCATGGTTTAGGTGTGCCATTGTAAATCAAGGAGCAAATGGTTCATGGAGACCAAATTTTCTCAAAATCTGGCATATTTGAGGAGCAGCAGAGGAAACAAAACGAAACAAAAACCAAAACAAAAATATAGGGGAATTTCAGGGCTCAGTATCCAGATACGTCACTTGAGCAAACTAATTTTGTGTCAAGAAATATTTATTAAACCACTCACTGTTTGAAGCAATCACTTATCTGTTCAAGAATATGAAACAAAGCAGAATACTAACAGTCCTACTAACCTTGGAAATATCAACAGGTTTGCCACATTTTGCTTGCTCAATCTTTTGGTCAAAGCTCTTAGCTGTTCTGAGATACATCTTAGCCTGTTCAAGGTTATTTTCCTTCTTTGCTTTGACGGCTGCCTTCATGTATTGCTTCTTTCTGCTCTCCAGAAATTCCAGCTGTTCCCTAGCTGAAAAACAGTTGTATAAAAACCCTCACTCATCTGACACTGCCATGCCCCTGAAACAGGTTTATCATGTTCAGTTTATAGCCAGAAAAAGGTCAGTAAAAGCATAGATATCAAATAAGGACATTTCCTTACTGCACTTAATTGTTTCTTGGCCAGTTTCAATTTCAAGTATCAGAAAAAGAAACAAATTTCCTTCTATCATGGCATCCTTCATCAAAAAACCTCACAGCACTTCACAAGTGTCACAATAGTAATTACAGCCCCTTATTTGCAGGCAGGAGACAGACTCCAGTACAGCTGATTGGTCCAAAGCAAATTCAAACTTTCAGCTTGACATGTTAACTTCTAAACGACAGTGACTATTATGAGCATCTTCTGTGCTCATTTCTTCCCTCTTTCCTGATCTGTCAGAAAAAAACCCCAGATGAACCAATGTGCACGCACATTCAGACATACTACCTCTGCTTATTTGTAATTCCTTGCCATCTTAGTTTCTTATTAATTCTTGGGTCTCCTCTTTCCTTCCCAAAACAGTAAGGAAAACCACACAAGTCAGAAAAGATTGCTTTACATTGTACGAGGTCAGTGCACCCTGCCTCCTCTTATACCTCATTTAGGAAATGGTACAACATGAGCTGATTACAGCCATTTCCAAAGGTACTCATATTGTATTCACCACTGCACTCTACTCGTGATTACACAAGCTAACCACCTGCAAGAGGTGCCTGTCTCAGCAAATAAATATACCAATGACTCTCACACTGTGTTCACTGCTGTCAGATGACGATCAACTTATTCCCGTCCCTGCAAAAGAGCCCACTGTCCTGCTGCCGTGAGCAATTTGCCCAATCAGCCAAAACCAAACTAATTAGACAAGGTAGCTAGCCCAGATTCCACTGAGAGCAAACCCACAGTGTGCTCTGTGAGGCTGAGACATGGAGCACAGGTATTTTCAAAGAAAATCTGTGGATAATGGACTGAGCAAAGTCATTAATCCAACTGATCTTGGCTCCTTGGCTTTCCTAGTACAGGCCTTAAGTGCTACTGCACCACTCCACTCCCACACCTCCCTATGCCTTGTGTTCTCCGACAAGAAAAAGACAGTTTTTTACAGTTGATTTATCAGCTATGGACAGCTGTGAACCGCACTTCGTAATTCTTGGGAAAGGAGGTAACATTTGGATCACAGAATGCACTTTGGCTAGCAAAATATAGCTTTACAATAGTGAAGTACTAACATTATGTTGCAAAAATTGTGTCAGTATGAATCTGTCCAGGTTCTTCTTGCACCTATTGGTCTTATTTAAAAATACTTGAAATACCCAGGAGAGGTTACTGTTAACACCAGAGACCAGGTATTATCAATTCCTTCACAGCATAAGTCTAGGGCAATTTACTCAAGAGATTAGTATGTCAGCTAAAATTGCAAAAAAACAAAACTCCTGAGGAGTCATAGATTTTCAAAGCCAAAACGGACAACTACTACATTTTAGTGGTCTTTACAAAACAAGTCATGGTATTTTCTGGGGTGAAGAGTTATAAGCTAATCACAGTGGCACTGTGAAATGCCTTTGTACTCTGCAAAAGAACCTGCATCAGCCAGCTAGGTAGTTCTGCTTTGTCCTGAGGGAACTACCCAGGGCAGAATGGAAGAAGGATGGGATGATAGTCAAGGCATGACAACAGAATCAGCGAGAGCCTGAACACCGCTGGTGTGCACCCAAATCACACCGTGAGGTGGTGGCTGTCCCTTACTATCTGTACAATTAATCTCGTACGGACAACTGTTTAGCAACCTTAGCAACAGGAGGCCTAGAGATTGATGAACTACTGCCTATACACCAGTCTGAGATCTTTGGATGAAGCACTAGGCAGAAACCACTGTTTGATGTAGGAAGCTGCATTAGATCAATGAATAATTCACACTGGTAAGCCGTCCACTTTAATGAAAGTATATGCAGAGTTCAACTGTCAGCAGAGTTAAACATTATGAATCGATACACTTGTTACATCAAAATTAATTAAAAACCCAATCACCCTTATAATTACACATGCTGCCTCCGAGAAATAAAGCTGCATGGCTGGTCTCGATCTGCCCTCCAGCAGACATATATATCGAGACTCCTGTCAGAGGAAACCTATGCCACACTTTCACAGGCTTATATCTAAAATATAATGAAAAGAAGTCTTTACCATGGTACTAAACTAAACTAGTGCAAACGACTTGCACACGGATCACTGGGAATGATGATCCTTTCACCTTACCAGCTAGAGGGAGATGATCCATTGACTCTGCCTTGTCCAGGGTGGAGGGTGATGAAGTTTGTTTCACAGGCTCAGGAGAGCTCTCCTCCTCAGCTACGGCAGATGGCACTGTAATCGGCTTAACAACTTGAGTTGGCTTTCCAGGCAGCTGAGTAGGCTTCTTGGCAACTGGAGCCTGTGTCAGAGGTTCATTCTAGCATAACAAAAAGAATTTCACATTAAATGCATAAAATCTATTCCAGAGCTGAGGATAGCATCTCAAGCATCAACAACCATGGTTATCACTGTATCAGCCTTCTGGTATCACTTCTGAAGGAAGCATAACACTCCAAACAGCAAATTTTAACTTCTGGAGGTTTATGACCTGTGTCTTGCCAGTAGGTAGCTGACCTATGCAAGCATCAAACCTCCACTATAGAAGGGACAAAAGGAAGGTTCAACAAGGCAGTGATTTCAAAAAAAAGCAGATGCATGCAGGAAAAACATCATCTAGGAATTCTGAAGAGCTACTCCAGTTGAAAGTACAAACAATCAGCAATCAAATCCAGAGAGATAAAGAAATCAAACCAAAGCCTAAAGGCTGGTGCTGCCTGGCAAAAAGCAGTAAGTGTTGAACGTCCCTGGGAAGCACAAACATAGGAGCTACTGGGATGCAGGATCAAAGTACAGATTTAAATACTTTAGAACAATGTAAAGAGGTGGCCAGGATCTGAAGTCTTTGCTTTGTATGTGGGTTTTATTTTCAAGACAGTTATCAAAGAGCCAAACTCTGGACTCACAGCCTCTGCAGGTACTGACTGTAATAACATCTCATCTCTCTCTCTCCTACACTGTAATGCAAACTGAAATGACTACTGAGATCCTGTACTCTTCAGATTTCTGGGAAATGTATTTCATCTCAGCACCCTTGCTTGACTGGAAATCCAATGGTCTCATCTCCGCATACCACAAGAGACAGCATTTTAACTTTTACACATCCTACTAGGAAATACTAACCTCCTCCTCTTCATCATTCTCCTCCATATTTGCCAGCTTGCTGGCACTTTCCAGAACAGCAGCTATTGTGCCGTCGCCATCTGTTGCTGCAACACCAGGAAGAGGGGGAAATCCTGAGGAGGAAAGGCATACAGAAGTAAAGAGTTGCCCAACACCTATATTCTGCCCTATATTATTTCTTCTTTTCTGTAAAGCTATTTCTATCCAAGTATCTATTATCTAATGTATTTCAGAATCCAGCATAACTAGACTGAAGCCAAGGCCACAAAGTCTTGCTAGATCAAGTCTGCGTGGTAGGCTTAAGATCAGATCTCTTGCAGATAGTCAGGCTGAAAGGGATGATGCTAAAATGATGCAATAACAGAGCATAGCTTTCTAAGTTGAGTAACCAGCAGCCAGCCAAGGAACCTCACAACTTCAAGACTTCGGTAACAGAGATGCTGCCAGAACCAGCAAAGAATTTAGTCTCTCTCCTTTCCACAAAAGCACAGCGGATTGTACAAAAAGTTTCTGGCTCTTCTTTTCCCCTCTCGCTGCTGCCTCACCTTAGTTGGTACACAGTCCAGAAGAAAATCAGTGCTATCCCATACAGTAATAAACAATACATTGCTGACAGACCAAGGATAACACACCAAGATGACACACCAGATGACACACTGGATAACACACCAAGCCTCTGCTGAAAATCTACTGCAATGCAGAGGTTGTGAAGTAAGGCAGAATCACAGTACTTAAATGTGAAGTATATGAAGAACAATCTTTTCCATTATTTTATTATCCTTTTAAGGATGGGAGGAAGGCTTGATGATGGAAGATAAACTTTCACTTCCACACTACCAGTTCAGCATCAACTTCAAACAACAGAGACCCATAGCCACTACTTAAAATGTCTGTTAATACAATTTATCTTATTAATACGTAGCAAGTATTCTTGTTGCCAGTCTCATTAGAAGTGCCAAGAAATAACGACTAAATTGCTTCTAAACCTAGAGATGGCTGCTACAGGGACAGAACAAGTTTGAGGTACACAGGCAGGCAGAACACAGAATCCTCTGCTGCTGCCCCCCTGGGACATTTGTCCTGTCACTCAGCAGCATTTCTGTCTCCAATGAGGTCAAAGCTGGTACTTAGCATCATTCAGATGCAATGAAATGCACTGCTAGTCCACTGTAATCTCATTGCTGGTTTCAGTGACTGCCTGATGGTTGTCTTCAATGTAAATCATATGGCCTCTAAATGACAGCCGAAAAGCATGTGGCTAATGTGTAAAGAAACTGAGGAGTTATCCATATTTTCAGAGGTGTAAATACAGAGTACCTCACTCTTACAGAAACTGATATTTACCAAGAAATGGATCATGTTCTAGAACAAGGGATGCTAAACTGCTTTCCAGGGACAGCTTCAAAGCAGGGAACCTTCAAAGCAGTACATGATCTGACAGAGCTGGCACTGCCTACTTTACTACTGCTACAGTGCTTGCCATTGCCACATTTGACAGTGACAAAAAAGCCACAAGGTCCGTGTCCCTTTTCTAGCTTAAAAAAAATCTAGGCATCACTTTGCAGTGCTAAGCGTATCTTTTCAGAAGAACACAACAGGCACAAGATAAAAGGAATGATGTTTCCTAGGGGAGAAACAGTATCGTGCAAACCCAGAGGTGGAGCATACATAGACAACCTTGCCCAAACTTTTACAGACACAGCACTAGACATTCTGAAGAAGATAAAAAGGACACAGAGTGTCTCAAGAAGCACGTTCAGTTTCTGTCACCGTCTCAGTGTGACCACGGGCATGATGTGCTTCGTCTCTGTAGACCACTTTTACTAGCCATGAGAGCTGCAATACTGACCTGACTTGTCACGTGTTGCAAGAAGATGATTAATTAAATAGAGAGTTCTGAGGCTCCTGCTGGGAATCAACAGAATGGGGGATACCAGGCAAATTTTTTCAGTTTCAAAAATCTCCTTCCAGTAAACTAAGATGCCTATATATCCCAAGTTTACTTTTTCCTCTAGGAGGGTTGGCACAGAGGACAGGCAGGTAACATTTTCAGCACCTGCCCATGGTTAAGTTGCTTAACTTTTCAAATAGCACCAGTTTTAAGTTCTGATGCTGTCAAACAGACAGTCAATAGTCAGGAATATTCAGCAGTGTGAAAGTTTGGGAGTATATTAATAGGCAGTTTCACAATACCATCAAACAGCGAGGCCAGCCTACTCACTGAGAAAAAGGAGGAGCTGTTCCACAGGATGAGAAGGCAATATCTGCACACCCCCTTCAGAGCCCAGTAGATACACAAAAGTTGGTATTCGGACATTTTGTATTCACACTTACCAGGAGGAACAGGTAGCTCAGAAAAATTCACTTTTCTCCCTGCTTTATGGGCTTTTATGGCATCCTGGTATTGCTGTAATCAAAGGCACTCAGTAAGACATAAAATGGAGTTGACTATGAATTAGCAATCATCTGTATTTAACCCAGCATAAATATTGCAGAATACACATTATTTTGCTATAATATGCACGTTGTGTCTATTTCTTCCTCCCTCCAAATGCTTTACAGCTTCCCTACTGGAGCTCTTTTCAAACAGAAGGACAATAAACAAATTATTTCAGCCTTGCAAAAGCCTTCAGCAAGAGAACTAATTCAAATGGTTTTGCTGGATTCAAGCAGCTTGCTAGACTTCTGTTTTACCTTGGCTATCCTCTCGTGCATCCTGCCTTTCCGATCATCCCCACTTGCTTTAGCCTGTGCTGCTGCTGACTTGTACTTCTCGAGCCTTTGCTGCAATGCTTCCAGCACTGTTTTTGGCTGCTGCAGGGAACCTTGAAATAAGACAGACAATGAAATGCCATATGATTCAGCTTTCAAAACATGAGCTGCCTTTTTCCTCCCCTTCTTGATCTTCTGCAGACACAAAAACATCATTGCCAAGTCTTATTATGAATACAATTATTCTAAAGAAAGTTTATTAACTTTCACTTCCATTACTGATCCAGAACAAAAGTACAGATGGGATCAGCAGCAACCAACATTCAGGAACATCAGCTAGGTTTACTCAATCCTGCTGCAGTTCAGTGGAATAGGGCAGACCTTAAAGTGCTTTCCAGCCGTTCTGTTTTTATGGCTTGCTAGAGAAATCCAAGAGTCCTACCAGAAACTTCTAGGGTTTGAGGCTGAGTTGTTGTAAGATCCTGGGAACCTCCTGTTGGAGCTGGTACCTTTTGCTTTGATGCATCTTGTGCGTTTCCCAGGCTTTCAAGATCTGCAAAGCAATGAAAGCAGGAAGTTTCAGCAGTGTGTTCCACAAACAGCAAGTCAAGGCATGTTACTCAGAAAACCATTAATTTGATCGCATCATCTTCCTGAAAGTTTTTTGGCTTCAAAACAGTATCTGCATGGTTAGACAGAATCACAGAATCGATTTGGTTGGAAGAGACCTCTGGGATCATCGAGTCCAACCTTTGCCCTAACACCACCATGTCAACTAGACCATGGCACTAAGTGCCACGTCCAGTCTTTTCTTAAACACCTCCAGGGATGGTGACTCCTCCACCTCCCTGGGGAGCCCATTCCAATGCCTAATGACCCCTTCTGTGAAGAAATGCCTCTTAATTTCTAGCCTGAACTTCCCCTGGTGCAGTTTCAGACTATGCTCTCGTCCTATCACTAGTTGCCTGCAAGAAGAGGCTGACCCCCAC